TGCTGAAATGGCAAAGATTTCGGCTTATTTGAAGAATCACTCGAATGAACAATTTTTATCAATATGGGGAAGATGGAGTGTTTATATTCAAAAGAAATATAAAGTGGTAGAATACAGGTTAGGTCTTTAATTTTGTAAGCTGGTTTATTTCTACTATTTTTTCTTGTAGATTAAGATATTTTGTAGAGTTAGAGATATTGGTATTTGTTTACTTTCATATGAATATTATCCTGGGATTAGGTTTGGGAAGTCCAGGGTGGGGGTGGGGGGTTATTCTCATTGTGTTTACTTATGATTGTTTTTTTATGATTTATGATTGAAAAAATAAATAAAATTTCTTTAAAAAAAAAAAAAAGATGGAACCCTTAAGGAATTTAAATCTCAATGAAAGTACTCTGTCCTCAGTTACCATGTTGTCCTGTAGTTTCAGGTCAGGCTGCAGAAGTGATGCCATTTGGTGGATTCGAGTCTTGGCATCCAAAATCTGTTTCTTAAGAGTATTATAGTCCTGAAGGTATCCTATGACATGAATTCCTTGCTTTTTGTCATCTTCTGTCAGCAGCAATGTATGCTCCCCTACAAAGAAAGAACCACAATGTCAGCCTAAGTTGGAAGTTGTAAGGACCCACTTCAATCCCACATCTTAAGAAAGCAGAACTCTTGGAGACGGTTTCCTCCAACAGGAACTTTTATTAAAAGTAGTCGATAGCAGGCATAATAGATAGGATCTGAAGGATTCCTTTGCAGATCAATACTTTAAAGTGTCCCCAAGCAAACCCCACCCCACAGTTCATCCGGGTGGTTCAAACCGGCCAATCCCCAGGTGTTAAGTCCATCGTGGGAAAGGGGAGATAATATCGGTCCAGCTCCGGTCATAGCGCGCTGTTCAAGCAACTCTTTGCACCTCCTTTTGAGAATGGAGAAATAAGCCAGGCTCCGGAGATTGTATTTCTTTCTCCCCCCTCTTTTCCTAGCTGACAGGTTAGGCCGAAGAAAGTTCAGAGAGAGATACAGTGCAGGAAGCAAATTGTTACATTGTAGCAGGCAATGGACACAGAAGCAATAAATGAAGCAAAAGGTTACATTGTAGTGAATAGAGGAAGGGAAAGCAATAACTCTGCAGGTACATCCCCCCTCCCCCTTGGGAGTATAGCAGAACGCAGGGGAAGGTGAAATTTGTTTTTAGGTCAGAGGGGATAGGTAGAAATGAAATAGGAATGGGTTCTGACAGAAGTTACAGTTCTGGACTGCTCTGGCATCAGCAACTATAGTTCCTGCACAGTGACTCAGTTGCTGTTTCCTACAACCACAGAAAGAAAAAGAGAAGTATAGTATTTGTTCAGAAAGCTTCAGATGGTCCTACTGCTTTCTGATATCTTAGAATATTTTAACTTAACATCCTGTAGTATACTAGCAAAGCTTGAGTGGGAAGGAGTAAGGACATACCAGAGACTGCCTTCTGCAGTGGTCCATGCTGTGCTTCATAGACACATAGTTCAGCCTGCTGGGTCTGGAAGAGCACTCTGTTTTCTTCACACTGCTGCTGAAGCATTATCATTCTATGCTGAAGCCTGCAAAAATCCCCCCACCAGCAAACAAGAGTCATGATTGAGGTTTTTGTTGGCTGAATGTCAAATGTCACTGCAGTGCTTATACTAATGTTCTGCCAAAACCTGCTCACTGAAGATTTCATTGAAGTCTCACAGAAAGAGACTGCAATTCCTCACAAATAGAACCATCAGATTACAAGAGAATTTGGAGGTCTTTTTTCCTGGGCAGGAATCCTCAAACTATCCCAGATAATTGGGACATTCTATTAAGCCTTGCAATAAATTCCTCAGATTTTACCATTTTTATTTATTTAATATATAAAATACAAAGAAAAATAGAAATAGGAAATTAAGGGAAGGAAAAGGAGAGGGGAAAAGAAGGTGTGAGGTACAAGGGGAAAAAAAGCTTTGACTTCCAACTCTTTTTAACACAGTATAAGATAAAAACCTACAGCCTAAACTTTTTGTTTTTACACAATAAATAATTAGCCATTCTACAACGAAAAATCTATCTGATAGAGAAACCAAAGTCATTCATTTTTTTCTATCAAAAGAACAATATCCAGAAGTGATACCCAAATGAAAAACATACTCAAATATGTCCTCCTCTTTGAATAAAATGAACAATTTTATCTTCCTTGCTATGAAAATAATGTATATTTCTATTTGCACCTAGTAATCTTTGTGAACTATTATTTTTATTAAAAATGATCACTATATTTTATAAAATACTTTGATCTTACTGAGAAAATACTCTTTTTTACCTTTTTTTAAATGCTAAAATTTCTCTATACAGGCTTTGAGCTGCAGTATTAAATTTAGATCCCACCCTTCAAACTACCCTTATAGAATATTTTTTATAAACATCCTTTGCAAATACATTTTCAATAACATTTTAAAATTTTGGATCAAGACTATTTCAATTACAAATGTCAAAGAAAAATCCATCCTAGATCCTCACTTCTTCCAGCTTGTCTTCATGGAGTAAAATCTTCTTCTTCTCTGGAAAGTTTATCAAGTAGTTATAAGCCCCTCCCCCTTTTATCACAGATTTCACAACCTTGCTAATGTCCTTAAAGAAAAAGTCCCAAATTTATCTTTTTAAAAGTTGCTGATTTTCTTGATGTTCTTCTTTCAATTGTATTGAAATATTTAAACCATCATAATAAAAGCACAAAATGCTTTTGATAACATAAACCAGCAATTTATGATTCAACAACTAAATGAAATGGATTTTGGAGAAAACTTTATAAATACAATTAAAACAATCTATCATAGACAAATAGCTAAAATAATAATTGTAAATGGATATTTTCAGAAAATTTTAACATTAAAAAAGGCACAAGACAAGGATGTGTCCATTATCCCCATTATTTATATTAACATTGGAAGTATTAAATAGAAATATAAAGCAAGACTCAGAAATTAAAGGAATGAAGATAAAAGATGAAAAATATAAACTACAAGCATTCGCAGATGACTTGGTTTTCATATTAGAAGAGCCGCTTGTGACAAGCCCCAAATGTCTAAAAATTCTATCAAGAATTTGGAGAAGTGGCAGACTGAAAATAAATAGAGAAAAGACCAAAGTGATAACTAAAAATCTTACTGATAAAAAAACCAACTGTCAGAAAAAACAGATCTCCAAATAGTTAAGAAAACTAAATATTTGGGGATTTATTTAACAACAAGATGTGCAACAATAAAAGAAGACAACTAAGTAAAATTATTAAAACAAATAAAACTAGACTTGGAAAACTGGAAAAATCTACAACTGTCATTAGGGAGAATAACAATGGTGAAGATGAATATCTTACCAAAATTACTCCTTATTTCAAACAATTTATTTATTTATTTATTTATTATTTATATTTATATCCCGCCCTTCTCCTTGCGGACTCAGGGCGGCTAACAACCAGATAAAAATACAAAATATCAAAACTACAAATTAAAACTTAATTAAAAGGCAAATATTAATAATTGGTCTAAAAAATTTAAAATTATTTTAAAACCCCCTCTAAAAATTTTCCCCTAGGCCAGTCCCGCAAGCTGGAATAACCATGTCTTAAGGGCGCGGCGGAAGGAAGGGAGATCAGGGATCACCCTGATCTCTGGGGGTAGTTCATTCCAGAGGGTGGGAGCTCCCACAGAGAAGGCCCTCCCCCTTGGGGTCGCCAGCCGGCACTGTCTGGCCGACGGTACCCTGAGGAGACCCACTCTGTGGGAGCGTACAGGTCGAAGGGGGGTAATCTGCGGCAGGAGGCGGTCTCGAAGATATCCAGGTCCGATGCCATGGAGCGCTTTAAAGATGATGGTCAGCACCTTGAAGCGCACCCGGAAGGCCACCGGCAGCCAATGCAGCTCGCGCAGCAGCGGTGTTACATGGGAGCGACGAGTCGCTCCCAACACCGCCCACGCGGCCGCATTTTGGACTAGCTGGAGCCTCCGGGTGCTTCTCAAGGGGAGCCCCATGTAGAGAGCATTGCAGTAGTCCAGGCGGGAGGTGACGAGGGCATGAGTGACTGTGCGCAGGGCGTCCCGGTCCAGAAAAGGTCGCAACTGGTAAATCAGGCGAACCTGATAGAACGCCCCCCTGGTCACAGCCGCCAACTGGTCATCCAGTGTCAGCCGTGGATCCAGGAGGACACCCCGAGGGAGCCAGAGTTTCGCCCCCTATAGTCAGCGATGGAATCAGCTGACTATGCCGAGGCGCCGGTAGCCACAACCACTCGGTCTTGGAAGGGTTGAGCCTGAGTCTGTTTCTCCCCATCCAGACCCTCACGGCCTCCAGACATCGGGTCATCATGTCAAGGGCATCATTGGGGTGGCCCGGGGTGGATATGTACAGCTGAGTATCATCACCGTACTGATGGAAATCCACCCCAAAGCCACGGATGATCTCCCCCAGCGGCTTCACATAAATATTGAACAGAAGCGGAGAGAGGACCGACCCCTGTGGGACCCCACAAGTTAGGGGCCTTGGGGTCGACCTCTGTCCCCCTGCCAATACAGACTGCGTACGGTCGGTGAGGAAGGAGGAGAACCACCGCATAACAGTGCC